TCCCTCCCCTCCCTCTATCTCTCTTCTCCCTCCCCCTCTCTCTATCCCCACTTTTCCCTCAAAGTTTTCCAACATCGATTTTACATAATCAATCATTTATTGAATATTGCCATTTTACGTGACATTTCTTTTTTTTCCTTTTTGATTTTTTTCTTTTTTTTTTAATAACTCCCTACGTATTTGTAATGTTGGCATTTCTTTTTTATGTTGGCAATAAAAAAAAAAAAAAAAAAACAGAAACGTTTTATATGTCTCACCTGAAAAATATTTTTTTCTCTTTAATAAACAATTTCTGACCTCGGTAATGATTGTGAAATAATCGAGTTAATTGTATGTGATATGATAACAGATGTGTGGTGATATCGATTTGGAATAGTAAGTGAGAGAGAGAGAGAGGGGTTATGGAGTGTTATTACCCTCCTCCCACCCCCTCCCTCTCCCCTCTTAAATTATCACCATTTTTCTTTTACTTTCGACTATAAAAAATCATCATCGTTAATAAAAAAAATTTATCGTTTTCGTCATCGTCGTAAAAAAATTATTGATGGTAATAATAATAATAATAATAATTTCCCCTCCCTACCTCTTACCCCTCCTCTCACCTCACCGAAAGTATTAAAATTTCACTTATTCGAAAAAGAGGAAATTTACATTTATTATCATCATCATCATCATCATTAACATCCTTAAAAGATATACTTTTCTCTCTCTCTTTCTAATTAAAAAGAAAACAGTGGTAATAATAATAATAATAAATTGAGGGCTCAGTCGTTTCTCTCTCTCTCTCTCTCTCTCTCTCTTAAAACTTATTGGTATTTTTATAACCGATATTCATCCTCGATTTTCTTTTCTTTTCTAGTTTTTGATTCTTTCACTCAAGTAAAACACGGCCTACATAATAAAAATAAAAAAAAATTTTTTTTTAAAAGTCGAATATATCGTCGAGTAGCCATTCGGTAGCTAAGAAAACCGGTTTCGAGTATTTATAATAATAATAATAATAATTTCTTTTATTTTCAAACTCGCACACGGGAATATAATGCAGAGAAAAGAATTATTTCATTTTTTAATAATAATAATAATAATATTTAATTTTGTTTGTGTTCTTAAATTTTTCCTATAACTAAAACTAAAGTTTTTCAAAAAATTTCATTTATTTATTTATTATATTAAAGACGTTTGTAACGGTTTTTTTTTTTTTTAAAATGGCGTAACTCACGAACTAAGTAAGAAAATGGCGGCGGGGAAAAGGGAAAATCTGAGAATTTCGCATCGTTAAATAACCCCAATGAATACACATTTTAATTAAGACCTTTAAACCCCCTCTTCTTCCCAAATAATAA